AGACAACGCAGAGCTTGCGCCTGGCATTATAAGCTGCGCTTCTTCTCCTTGGCTCGACGATGTGGGACTAAAACGCTTGGCTTGTTGTTGGGTTGCCCCGCACGTTGCTCCACCGACGGACTGCTGCTATCTGGGCTCCGGCCTCCGTCGCGGTGCTACTTGTTGGGCCACGGGCTATGTTTCGAGTTTCGACGGACTGCTGTTTGGGCTTCGTCGCGGTGCTTCGTATTGGACCATGGGCCATGTTTCCCCGTGGCCTCTCTGTGAGGACGTTTTGGCACATTCACCACATTGCCTTCAAAATACTCCGTCAACGCCCTGACACTATCTCCTCCTATACTACTACTGTGAGCAGAAGGAGAAAAGTTACACCATTATTTTCTAGACAAACACGACTAATCATTACTGTTTCCTAGTAGTATATTATTCATTTATATACCGGCCCAGCGCCCCATCCTCCAGACGTAGCTACGGACCGCCAAGCTCCTGGGGCTTTGCTAGAAATTCCCCAAGCCACACACTAATTCAGATGCAAGCCCTCCATCGTTTGTCATTTGCCTCACACACCCCAGGAGGAAAAATATTGTCTATGATTGGCTCTCCACATCTTTAAAAAGGGTATTATAGTCATTTGATATTTATTTCCACCCATCCCCATGCCAAACAAGAGAATGTTACAAAAACTTTTAAGTAGCGTATTTTGCTTCTGGGCGAGCAAGGTGGTACTAAAATATAGGTTCAGTCAGCCAGGCAACAAAACCAATTAGACGATTCTAATGGGCCAGACCCAGTCGTTTTCTGTTCAGTCAGCCAGGCAACAAAACCAATTAGACGATTCTAATGGGCCAGACCCAGTCGTTTTCTGCGAGTAAAAGGCTATCGCCCGTACTTCTCCGTTTTTGTTTTACTACTTGTTTCTGCGAGTAAAAGGCCAGTCGTCGGTCGAGGTTGGGGCTTTGGGGGCTGGCACGACTCTGATTGCAGTAACCGGATGTCTAAGGGTGTGTTTGGTTCGTGGGATATCCAGGATAGGATATGGATATTCCTGGACGAGGGCTGTTTGGTTCCATGGATAAACTGGGCATGAATATACAGAACATGGGTATATTCCCCTTAGGTGTTATATACTGCGGCCGCTAGAAAACGAGCGGACGAGCTTATCTACGGTCAGCGCGGACGCGCGGGAAACAAGGGCGGGAGCACGCGTAGATTTTCCTCGCCTCGCGTCATTATCTTCACCGTCACCACTCTCCTCCAGACTCCTCTCTCTCTCCACTCCTGCTCTCTACACAGGGCGGCGCTGCTCGCCTTGCCCCCGCCATTCGACTCCCCCACCGTTTGACTCCCTCCGCCAGGCACATCTCCCCGCCGGCCGCAGCTTCCTCGCCGCTCGCCTCCCTCCGACAGCTAGTGGGCGGTCGCAGCTTCCTCGCCGCACATCTCCTCTGTCGGACGCACGACCAGCAGCAGATGGGAGCCAGCACCACCATGCACGGGCCGCACATCTCCTCCACCGGTTGCACAGCAGCAGCAGGGAGAAGGTCCCGGCGGCACACCTCTTATGTTGGTCCCTGCGGCTGTGGCCCGTTTGCTGTTCGTCTCGCACAGCAGGGAGCAGGGAGCATGTATGAAATATTCCCTTCACTAATCCCTTGGTAACAAAAACCTGGTTAATCTGATAATAGAAAATAGGATTGGTAGTTGATTGAAGTAACGTTGCATTCTTGCTTTTGGATATCCATAGATCTAGACTTGTAATATGTGGATATTGTCTTTTTATGTTCAAATTTGATTTTTCCTTCAGTTTAGCTGATGGACAAGAGGACCAAGATCTTGATTTATGCAGCTGCAGCTCATATGTTGCTTTCCGTGATGGCAATTTTTGTTACGTCTAGGAAAAGGAAAAGGAGTGAACGTAGACAGTGCATTAGCTATGGTCCAATAGAGGAAAGAGATAGAATGAGAATTGATTATCTGAACAATAAAACTTGGAAGAATGACACAACCTGTGTTAACATGCTTAGGCTTAGAACAGAGTCTTTCTTCTGTTTTTGTCAACTTTTTAGAGATCGTGGCTTACTTGAAGACACCATACATATGTGTGTTGAACAACAAGTAGCAATGTTTTTAAATACAGTGTGACACAACCTTGGGAATAGATTAGTGGCCACTAATTTTGATAGATCTAGTGAAATTGTTAGTCGTTATTTCCACTCGGTCCTTCACGAGGTGGGTGAGTTAAGAGCAGAATATTTAATGCCACTTTCACAGGAGACCCCAACCAAAATAGCAGGGAATCCGAGATGGGATCCCTACTTTAAGGTGTGAATTTCACCCCCTTAACTCAATTTCAGTTTTGTAATGTATGTTGCCCAATTTGTTTCATGTGTTATATTGCTTAAAAAATAGGATTATATTAGAGCTATCGATGGCACACATGTACGAGCTTCCGTTTCTAAGGATATGGATCCTTCCTTCCGTGGTAAGAAGGCCCGTTGTATCCAAAATGTAATGGCAGCCGTAGATTTTGATCTTTGGTTTACATATGTTTTGACGGGTTGGGAGGGGATACCACATGATGCTCTTGTGTTGAGAGATGTTTTAGAACGTGAAAATGGCCTTCGCGTACCTCAAGGTATTCAGCCCAAAATTTTTGAACCTCAATTTGACATGTCGTATTTTGTTAGTACCACTATCACCCACATTTTCCTCTTATGTTAGGTAAATTTTATATCGTTGATGCGGGATATGGAGCCAAACCTGGTTTTTTACCATATTTTCGGGCTATGAGATATCACTTGAATGAGTGGGGGAACAATCCAGTGCAAAATGAGAAGGAATTGTTCAACCTTAGACACTCGGCTCTTCGTGTGACGGTAGAACGAGCATTTGGGTCCCTAAAGAGGAGATTCAAAATACTTGATGATGCCACCCCATTCTTTCCATTTTCAACACAAGTAGATATTGTGGTGGCTTGCTGCATTATGCACAACTGGGTTCTACAAGATGGGCTTGATGAATTTATCATACTAGAGACAAATTACATACCAAACCATAACTATGTTGATTCATCAAGTGGGCAAGCTAGTGAGCATCAACATATGGTTAATTTTAGGCAGGGAATTGCTAATGCTATGTGGCTAGACCGCCAAAATTATTTACATGATTAAAGACATGTGTGCCTTGCTGAATTTTCATTGCATTGTAATAAAGACATGTGTGGCTTGTTGATTTTTCATTTTATTGTAATAAAGATGTATGTATGGCTTGCTGAATTTTCCTTGTACTATAATGAAGATGTGTATGGCTTGCTGGATATGGCTTGTTGTTTTTTGCATGCTGGACATATGTATGGCTTGCTGTTTTTTTTCGTGCTAGATATGGCGTGCTGGGTATATCTTGATAATTTTTTTCCAATCTGATTTTTAAATTTGAATGACATTGTGCTAGGCAAATGGAATTTGAGGCTACTTGGGAGCAGGCTCAGGGTGGTGGCCATGTCACTTGGCCTTCTACATTGTCTTCTTTTGCGCTTACTTACTGAAAGGACCGTGACACCTAGGAGGGGGTGAATTAGGCAATTTAAAACTTTAACTCTAACTATAGACTCTTTTTCTATCCTTAGCAAAATCTATGCAATAAATAAACTATCTAAATATGCAACTACGTTTTTGCTAAATGTGTTGCTATCTTTACCGCAAAAAGAGTTATGCAGCCTAGGTTTTAAACCTAACAACTAGCCTATCAACTAAGCTAGGAAAGGTAAAGCTCACACCCAAGTATACAATGTAAATGTGGAAGCTAAAGAGAGAGGTAGAGATGCAAACTCTCGCCGACGACTCTGGTATTTTTACCGAGGTATCGAGAAGCGGGCAAGCATCCCCATAATCCTCGTTGGAGCTTCTCGCAAGGAATCCCTCGCAAAGGTCAAGCTCCCGGTCGGGTAACTCCGTGGATAGCCTTGGGCCTTCCCATGCGCAAGTGGGTCTCCGATGTGCCTTTCAGCAAGCCTTTCCCAGATGCTTTCCGCCGTCTTCACTATCAAGCTTCCGACCGAAACGCCGAGGGCTTTGTTCCCTCCGTATACGGTGGCGGTCGCACCACAAACGTGGTTGGTGTGGTCTCGTAAGACTACAAACCCCTCCGATATAAAACAATGGTGTGCACAAGCACCGATAGATAAGAGGTATGCAAACCTCACTAAACACTAGGCCTAAACCTAGAGCAAGCACAAAGCGGTGGTCTAACTAACCTAAAAACTTCGTAAAGCACCTATGCTAATCACCGAGTATGTCACTAAGCACTTTGGTGGCTAAGCATATAGATATGAGCCTCAACTCACACAAATCTTCCTTGAGCTCCAACTCTGCCAATTTGGCCGGCCATGGGAGTATAAATAGGCCCCCAACCAAATAGAGCCGTTGGCCCTCTTGATGAGCATTTCTGCGCATCGTCCGAACCGGACTCTGGGGGGTGGTCCAGACCATTCTTCCTTGGTCCGGATCCCCTCCAACGGTCACTGACACCGACCGTTGGATTCGGCCGTTACGCACGCCGATTTTTTTGCAATTTGGCTCTTTTCTGGAAAAAAAATCACGTTTACCCCCCTGAGCGTCGTAAACCCGACTTTGGACCCTTTTCTCAGCGCCATGACCTACGGCGCCGAAGTAGCACGTCTCGGCGCCATAGGTCATGACGCCGAGGTCGGAGGCCAGTGATCGCGTGGCTGGCGACGTGGCGCTGACGTGGTTAGAGCTCGGCGCCATGATTCAAGGCGCCGAGCTCGGCGCCGAGCACTGATTTCACTCTTAGCTCTAAATTAACATGACTTAATTTAACCATGAGATGGATATATGATTTTACTGTGACTCGGATATGTAAGAATTTTACCATGGGACAGACATATGAAAAATGGTTAAATTAAGTCATGTATCCTCATGAAGCTAAGTCTGTGATTTTATCATGAGATGGACATGAAAAATGGCTAAGTCTGTGATTTTTCATATGTCAGTGGTCCTCGCGTACTCTGTCACAGCAACACAGACGTCCTTATGCAGAGGGCACGCCAAGATGTTGGGAAACCATGTCTGACTGCCTACCTGCAAAAAAGGAGACAAAAAAGGAGTTACGTTAATTACTCACAATTTTAACCGAAACATCATCACATACTCCCATCCGCCGAGCTTTCGCGGACGTTAGCTAACCAATTACGGAGTAGACAGTAGTAGACACTGTAGTAACCATAATTTTCAAAACTAAAACAGCACTGCAATCACCATACCTTGAGCCCATAATTTTCAGAATTATAATCACCATACTTTTTAGAACCAAAAATAGACATTTTCAGAACTGAAACATATATTTTTAGAACAGAAAAAGACTATTTTCAGAACTGAAAAAGCACTGCAATCACCACACTTTCAGCCCATGATTTTCAGAAATGCTATTTTCAGAACCAATTTTCAGATAACATATTAAGAGTCAAATTCATCTTTCAATAGGATGTTATACTCACGGTTCCAAACTAAAGTGATCGAAGCACTCCCAAGCATTCACACCTAGTAGCAGCAAGAACCCTAATTAACCCGTCCCCAACAGGCCACATTTCTGAAAGAGAAAGAAAACCAGAAATGTGGCCTTGGTCAAGTGGAATCATATGGAACCAACCACAACAATCAATTTGCTGCAAGCGGAAATTTACATCCCCTTCAATCCAGCCAACGTGACATCACAAACTACAATACATCGACTCAACCAGCCTTTCCATCATCCCAAACTGCCTGAAATTCAGTTGCATCCATGTTTTGTACTATCTTACAGCAAGAACGAAGACGTATACCACCAGAAGACCAACAACTGGGTTCCAGGTCAGCTTGTGGGGGAAAAAAGGAGAACTGTAGAGTCCCAAGCCAATCCGCATGCTTGTGTTGTCTCTTTGCCTAGTTAGGTGGGAAACAACCATTGCATCTGCACAAATTTCCCACAGAGGTAATTCTAGGGAGTGTTTGTGAGCTGATGATCATCACCGATATCTATCTCTTGCCTGCTACAAACTATAAAGCCTGCCTGATGATCATTAGGTGGCGAAGTTATCTATAATTTAGCCCTGGCGAAAAATACTCCTGCTAATAGACCTGCATGCATGGTGAAGTGTTCGAGATCGTTAATGATATTTATATAGGGTAAAAAAAATAGTAACAATATATTTAGCCTCGTTGTAGATATAACCTACCAAACAGAATGCTCAAAGAATTCTGCATGCTTGTACGAACGTTGAAGAGAACGATTCCAGCAATGGAAAGAGGGATCTTGTTTAAGGAGCCCACAAGGCTGTATTACAAGCAAAATATTGGCATCAGAAAAGTAGAAAACAGATGACAATAGAGAGGACAAGCAGCAATGTTTTAGATGAGTCCAATGGTGGCCCTTTATGGATTCGCAGTTTGAGCTGGAAAAGTTTTTTATGGAAACATATCTGTGTTCACATGTATATTTTAAATATCAAATGCATTAGGTACCTATATGTTGTTGCACTTGTCTGACGAAGAAACCACATGGAAGTAAAGCTGATTCCAAGCCCCAAAACTCCACTGGCAGTGATGACCAGCCAAAACTCAGGCATCCTTAAGAGAGGTCTGCAGATTCAGTTGCAAATACATAACCACAAGATGGAGGAGTGAACGTGTAAATATTCAGAAGAAGCCTATCTAATGGAGTAAAGGTTCAACCATAGAAGATACATCAATTAGTGGTTACAGTTTCCATTTCTTATCTTTTGAATGGACTGACAGGAGCTCTGTCTTTCATTTAAGAAGGGAATGAAAAGTTTATGTACAGTTTCCGTTTCTTATCTCTGGATATGCTTTCCTATCAAGTTTTCAAAAGGTAACAATACATGTCCCACCAGACTCATGTCATGTTTATATGCCTAAAAGTGGTTTGCAGAACCAGAAAGGGCAGAGAAGACTACATGACAAGTAATTGAAAAATGATTATTGATACATAAATAGAGATCTCAGCAGTTTGCGTGTAGTCCCATAGGTTTATGATAGAAAAATAAAAAAAAATAGTGAAGGTTGAATCAATAGCTTACGTCTCCAAAAGATACTCCACTTCATTCAAACCAAGCACAAGGACAATTCCCAATGGCAGTGAAAGAACATTATTCAGCAACACCATTGAAAGCTCATTCAAATTCCCAGACTTGGTGGCTTGCTTAGCAGTGTCCATTACATGCCGCAATGTAAGCTGAAAGGAAAAGCTAATTAGTTGAAAGAAATGTTTAATACCTTTGCAACTAAATGTACTAGTCTTGTAAACTGAAGTGCCAATCTAAGGGGCCGGAAATAATAACTAGAATCATTTGGTTGGACTGAATATTCAATAGTTGACTGCATGTACTAAACTAAATCAGCTTGTCATTTGTATTTAGGAAAGAAATACCGAATATGACGCCGTCAGAAAACAGTTTAAGGTCTGCCAGATATATCCGACAGCATGGAATGACAGATCTGTTATTCCTCCCGCAACTGCAGAGATTATCTGCACAAACATATCAATGGCTCAGGTGTTGAAGGGTCAACACATAATTATTGTAAGTCAAAATTTCACAGATGATTATATATTTGGCAGTGAGCAGGTGAATCGGGCAATCAACTAGTAGCATGTGTACTAAAACTTATTTGGTGGAAAACACTTGTGAAGGAAATCAACTCCTCGTTCCTCATGCTTTTCTAACATATGAATATGACATACCATCAACATAAGAGCAATCCAAACTTGAGTACCATGCTGCTTCTTGAAAAAATAAGTTTCCCCAGAGGCAGTCAGGACATTGGCGACATTCTTCAATATAGTCAGCATTGCAACATTAATGTACTTCAAACTGAAAAGTAAAGAAAATATTAAGAAATGAAGTAAATAAGTTTATAAAAGGCTTCCAATTTCAGTCCGAACTTCCTTGCTACAAGTACAAGGTTGAGTGAGGAATTGAGAATCGTTCACAGCTAATATGGAAAACATCAATACAAAATGTTCAACAAAACTACCAAAAAGATTCAGGTCCATCATTGTACAAGGCACTAAATGAACCCTGAATAGAGCAGATTCATGAGACAGGCAACACATTTTTCAAAATTTAAAATAAACCAACTGTCAGCCAAATGAAATTCCTTGGTATTTTTTTCAAAGAGAGATAGCCTAAGCATTTTAACCCAGAATATATCGAACTTCAATACTGATTCTAAAAACCACCATTACTACTTATGTGATCTGTATTTCTAGACTGGAAGGTGAGAAAACACTAAATGCATTCATAGTCATTCTCCTGAAGAGGGTAAACTTAAGTGCATAGAAAAATAAAATGACTGCTTAAAGCCAAGAAACAATTTCATGCTCCATTAACAAATAACAAATCAGGTGTACGGATCTAAAAAAATAGCACAGCAAACAGTACTCAGACCAAACTGACGCTGAAGATCTGCTACATACCTAAACATGCTTGTGATCAGCATTCCAACAAAGATGATATTCACAGGCAACCAAACTTTGATTAGATTCCATGTCAATGGTTCAGTTGGAACAGCACCGGACAGGGATAGTGTAGAAACTATGGTCACTGATACAATGTTCTGCAGCAACAGAACATGGAAAAGATGATTTAGGGGAAGGAACACAACTGTGTTGCATGAGCATTGGAAAGTAAATAGTCAGCACTAGTAATATACCTGGTATAGCATCAAAAATACTGGAGCATTGAAACCATAGCCAGATAGAACAAATTTGTTGACTAAGATCATGCTGCATGATGATATGCAGTAAGCCAGACCAGATAGGAAAGCCTGATTCTGAATCTTTGGGAGCCTGAGTGACTGTGCAGAGCTCTCCCTTTCTTTTGAGGCCTTACCATCTTCCAAGTCATTGTCATCAACACAGAAGGACCTTGTCAACGACCTGGAGAACATGATACTTCATTATTATCTAGAAACATTGTAGATTGTGTTAACTTGCAGTTGCAGGGCAGTTGCTGCGGGACATTTCGTTAGATAGACAAGGTCATGTTTGTGAATGTTTTTTTCCAGTTATAACTATCTGTGGAGACATTTTCATTCAGATAGAGAAGATCAGCATTTATGGAGTTATTGTGATTTTCTAAGTTTTAACTAATTATCTATGGTGAGGTAAACAGTGAAATTCTATGGGAAAGAAAAAAAGAGAAAAAAGAACAAATCACACCAATCAAGGGTCGCATACATGCCTGTTTCCAATTTCTCTCCTCACAGGACTTGCAAGTGCAGTGAACCCTGCATTCTGATTCGAAAGAGAGCCTTTTCACCGTTCATGAGAGGGCTACTAACACTCCCGGGTACATTTCTCCTAGGAGAGGCCTCAGAATCTGCAGGAACGTCTAACTGAAGGACTCTACAGGACAAAAGAGAATGCTTGTAAGTTGTAACCAATAGTAATCGAATTTGTTTGCAGGAAGCCTGCATCATCACACAGTGTTGTGTTAACATTGAACCATATTAGCTATGATATTCAAACTAAAATTTGAACATAAGGATCAAGTCAAACCAAAATTTGAACATAGATCAAGCCAAAGAATGAAACAGCTGACTTTGAGCCCAGAAATTATCTATATGCTTCAACTTTGAATCACCGAACTATTCTAAAACTGGGTTACTGATACAAAAGGAATAGGTGTGCACCTGATTTCCTATATATGCAGTTTAAGCTGTTTATCGCTGAAACTAAAAGGAGGCATGAGCATGACCCATTTAATAGTCACCGACTTTTAATCCACTAATTTACCAGATTTGGATGTTGACTTCAATGTTACTCTCATTAAGCAACATGGTTAAAACATTCTTGACTGCAGCCATCAGACTCAAGTTGTCAACAATTAGTGTTAATCCGTTACCAAAAAAAAATTTGAGAGAATTCCTTATTTGGCTCTCTAAAGATACAGAATGCCTTATTTGGCTCTCCAAACTTGGAAATTCCCTATCTGACACTACTTCTATGTTCGGTGCCCAAAATGACATTGCCGTTGCTTCTAAGGGCTAACGGTGTTAAACACGAGGTAAAAAGACCATATTACCCCTCTCTCTGTATCGCTGCATATATATGTTGTACAGTAAATAAGTTGGACAAACAACATTTTTGATACACAAAACACATACACAGGATTTAACACTGATATATATGCACTGCACAGTGCCCAAAATAAGTTGTACAGTAAGTGTGACGGATATATATGCAGTGCACAGTGAGCAAACAACATTTTTGATACACAAAACATATATATGCAGCATATATATACTGTACACTACTTACTGTACAGCATATATATGTAGCGATACAGACAGAGGGGTAATATGGTCTTTTTACCTCGTGTTTAACATCGTTAGCCCTCAGAAGTAACGGCAATCAGCCTGTTCGCTTGCTCGTAAACGATCGTAAATTTCCAGCCGGGAACAGTGTTTTTCTCTCACACCAAACCAGCCAGCAGTAAATAATCCACGATACGATACGGCCTCCCGAACAGGCTCAATGTCATTTTGGGCACTGAACATAGAAGTAGTGTCAGATACGGAATTTCTAAGTTTAGAGGGCCAAATAAGGCATTCTGTATCTTTAGAGGGCTAAATAAGGAATTCTCTCAAAAAAATTAGTAGTAACCTCAAGTGAATCAGTTGGTAGAAATGTAAAGATGCAGACAATTACTGTAGTAGTAACCTGAGTCCAGAGTAATTAGCAACAAGCTTGACAGTTAGTTAGTAAGGTGATTTCATGTGTTCCACAGTCCAATTTGACTACATACAAGTATTCTAAGTGTACCAAAAATCGAAGCCATTAAGCCCTGGTTTAGTTCCACCCCAACTTCCAAAAAGTTGCTACAGTACCTGTCACATCGAATGTTTGTGGCCCGTGCATGGAGCATTAAATGTAGACGAAAAGAAAAACTAATTGCACAGTTTGGTGGGAAATTGCGAGACGAACGTTTTGAGCCTAATTAGTCATGTTTGAACACTATTTGCTAAATAAAAACGAACGTGCTACAGTAGCCCCAAAATCCAAATTTCTCCAACTAAACAAGGGCTAACTGAATTTGTTCTCAGTTACTAGTATCAGAGATTCAGAGTACGAGGTACGGGACTGTACTATGCCATGAAACAAAACTGAAACGTGCAAGAGCAAGCAACAGAACGTGCAACCTGTGAGAGGCCACTGGTCAGCTCAGCTGCAATTGATTGTCGTTTTCTGTGGGGATGTAGAATCTATCTGCACCACCTGATGGCTGAGGTGAACCCGAGATCACACACACAGAACTAAATCTGCTTATTCCTTCCCGTCAAACAGTGGCAAGCACGGAGTGAATCAATCAACAGGTTAACACACGACACGAGCGGTCCGAGTCCCAAGCAGAGCAAGCGGAGGCGAGCGAGAAGCGAAATACACATACAGCCTGCAGGCTGCAGGCTGCAGGCTGCAGGGTGCAGCGCCTCCCCCAGCTGCAACGGAACCAACAGCAGCCCGCCCGAGGCAAAACCAAAGTTTCCTGATCAGAAGCAACACGTGGACACGGGGGCGCTACGAGACGAGGCACGGGCGCCCGCGAGAAGTTGAACTGGAGGCTGGCCTAGCAAGCTGGCGGGGAAGGAAGGGCCGGGCCGCGTGGTGGCGAGGGGTGGGAAGGAGGGAGGTCGATCGGGTGCTGACCTGGAGCCCATGGCGGCGGTGGCCGAGCCGGCGTGGGGAGCGCGCGCGCGTGAACGCTCAGGACGGCGGCGCCCGGGAGGTGGTCGACGAAATGTCGCGCCGGGCCGGGGCAGAGGCGTGGAGGCGCCCGGAACGGGCAGCCGGCCGGGCAGGGGGCCAGGCGACGACTCGGAACTAACGGGGCCCCCTCACCTTCGCTTTGGAATGCTAGTACTAGTAGTACTATCCGAGAGGACGGCTCTGAGACTGCGTCGCGGGCCCCACCTGGCGGGGGACTCGTCTCCAGCTCAGCTCAACTCGCTGGCTGACTGGCCCGCCCAGGCTTCGGCGCTGCTGCTGCGCCTGTTGTGGGGGTCAACTCGGGGGTAGCGAGCAGTCCAGCCACTGAGTCGTGGGGCCAACAAGTGTGCTGGCCCACGTGGCATTGAGGCGGGGAGGGGTTGGATCGGCGTAGCCCCTGCTTTAGCTGCTGGGGCTTCGTACGAAACTCATCGGTTTGACCGTTTGACCACAACCAAATAATGCAACATGGGCATTGGCAAGCAGCCTTTGCGTGACCGATGTTTGACCATGCTTCCTTCCCCTTCCCCTTTGAACTGTTCTTCTATTTTCGTACGGATGCTACTTGTTGCCTCTTTGCGTCCGTGCTTCGTTTTGATCCAATCCAATCTAATGTGGTTTTGGTTCTTGGACAGCAGGTACGTTGTGGAATGTGGAGGTGTACATACACAGTACTTCCAAGAAGAAATGCTCATTTTGAAAAGGAGTGTATTTCTAACTAGCACAGTGCTAGGTTAAACCACCTTTTAGTTTACAATTTTTTAACAAAATAGTTTAAAATTTGTTACATTAAATATAAATATAATTTGATTCATCGTAAGAATATATCTTTTGTGGACAGTATATGTATATTTGTTCCATCTGCCTGGAAATACGATTATTAATATCTATGATCGAGAAAAGGACTCCAACACTATACATGGGTTCACCTATCGAGGCTCCACTCCACTCCACTCCAGCTCAACAGCTTGTACTCCTGTTACTAAGTTGTGGGTTAAAAAAGTGTTTGACCCACATGACATTGATGGGAAAGGAGTCGGATCGGCACACATAGCCATGTGCTTGGTTCGCTGGGCTTCGAATGAAATTCATTAGTTTGGCCACAGACAACAACCTAACATGGCAATCTTTGCCGGGAACGTGCTTTGACTAAGCATTTTTTGTACCTTCTATCTTTGCATTGTTTCTTTTGTTCCTAAGAAAGCATCAACAAGGCTAACATCCACGTCCTTGATCTTGCCCAAAAAACATGATCCACGTAGGCCAAGATAGATTTAGGGGTTGTTTGGTCTGCAGCCAACACCGGTCATACTCGTTGTGGCGTCGCCAAACCTTAGGTGGAGAAAACGGCCGCCACAAGTGTGGCGAAAATTAACAAAGAAATAAGCCGAAGAATCTTGTGGCAGCCACTACTAATTCACAAACCAAACACCGCCCAAGTTCCCGTGGTAGCCATAGTTGTAGCGTGGCGAGCAACCAAACAACGTGTTAAGCATACAACCCTAAACGCAAGTGTTGACTCGTCATTTCTCCTTCCTCTTAAAGTGATTCTTCTCTCTTTGTTTTTTTTCTTTTAGCTATAGCTTCACCGACGGTCCGCAAAAAACACAAAAAATATGTACAACCATCATCTCGTCGCCTCTCTCCTTCGAGTGGTATCCAAGCCTATATGACTACTCGGCTATAAATCACACCGGTGCGATGAGCCCAATCTTAGTACAAAAGCTATTGTTGTGCCTGGTCCATGCTGCATTTTTTTTGTCTAATTTAATGTGTTCTTTTATTTACTGTTAGCAACCAACAGGTATATAAAGCCTGTTCGCTTGCTCGTAAACGATCGTAAATTTCCAGCCGGGAACAGTGTTTTTCTCTCACACCAAACTAGCCAGCAGTAAATAATCCACGATACGATACGGCCTCCCGAACAGGCTGTGTGAAACGTGGAGGTGCATGTGTACTAGTACTACCAATAAATACAAAGTACGTATATAGGTTGAGTGACCATGGGATCTTCCATGTTTGACCAACCATATTTACATTTTGTTGTTATATATGTGCCTTCATTGGTATGACCCGGATAACTGGATGACGGTGGACATGATGCCACTGTTTCTTTTATTCACAATCCATGGCAAGGCAAAAAAAAAAAAAACTATTCACTCGGTCCTTTTGAATCCCATCTGCCGCCCCACATTAATAGTAAAAAAATTATTGATCATGTTTTGAAACTCTGTTGACTGAGTGAAGAATGTTGCAAGGTAGATAAATATATAGCTCTATATCACTGCCTTAAATACGAAAGCGAGCCTAGGGCAAAAGGAGCGGGTGATAAAAAAAAACATGTGGAAACTGAGTTATCCTCATTGATCAATCGTGTGTCGCAAAAATAATATCATGGAAACCAACCTTTAAGATTATTATAGTATGCTCTAAGTTTTAGGCTGTCAATTTAAAATTTTACTTGACCCAAAGCGAAAGAAGCTGGGCAGACAAAAATTTCTTCACCGTATCGTTTTTTCCATCTTCCTTAGATAGGAGTGCTTCTCAATGCTACTTGGGCCACGTCGCGTACATGGGCCGACCCATTTGTGCCTTCCTGCCGCTGGATCGAAAGAAAAAAAAAAAGCAACGGAGTCGGTTCCAACCGAATCGTCTAGACGCCCGCCGCCGCACGCGCACTCCGCCGCTGGCCCTAAGACTGTCTCCAACGATGCCACCCAAATGCAAAATAGGTGCTGCATAGCAGTTTGGGTAGCAAAAACCGAGCTCCAACGGAACACGCAAACACAGGACGCATTTTGCGTAACAGCCCAATCGGAAGGCAAATAAGCGTCTCGCGAGGGAGATGACGCAAATGTCTGGCGCCGTTGCGGTGGGCCCGCGGCGAGGCGTGGCTCGCCACGGGGCGCGGCCGGCTCGGCGAGGCGAGCCCGAGGCGGGGAGCCGCCGGCGCTTCCAGGCGGGTCCGTGGCGGACACGGCCGGCGCGGCCAGGCAGGGCTGCTGCGGGGAGCCGCTGGCGCGGCGAGGAGCAGCCGGATGCGTGGCGCTGGAGGGCGAGAAAGGCCGTGCCGTGGACCTGACGCCGCTGGCGGTCGAGGTCATCGCCGAGAGCTTCGGGAAGTGGCTGCGCGAGGAGATCCGGCTCCGGGGTGAGTTGCAGGAGCCCCAGCAGCTGCGGGTGTCCGTCGGCGCGCCCCTCGGCTGTCGGGCCCGCGGCTCGCGCGCGGCGCTCTTCGCGGGGCTCGCCAGGGGCAGCTGCTCCGTCTTCGACATGGGGCTCGCCACCACGCAGGTGCCGGGGGTGTGGAGATGGGTGGGCGGCGGACAGACCGAGGAAGAGGAAGAGGAGGGCTAATTTGCGTGGCCTGTTGGAGAATCTCCATTTTAGGTACCGGAGTCTTTCTACTGTATATCACCTAAATCGGAGAATGGGTATTGGATTTAGGTCTCATCGTTGGATACAGTCTAATCGAAACAACCGTCCCATTCCGTCGGGGCGGGGTGGGTACCCGATCCAGGCTTTTACCTGTGTACTATTGTAAAAGTTTGTAATTATCGACAAACCATTAAAAATTTTGAGCGGTCATATGTGCTATTGGTCGAAACTTTTTTGCCCTCTACGCCATTCCGTCCATATTGGGGTCAAATTGAGCTACGAAAAGATTTAAATACCTCAGACTATAGAAGCGAGCTGAAATTTCATTTTTCTCCTGTGCCACTCGCTGAATGAGTGTTTTGGCGCCAAATTGAGGATGGAGCAGGAGAGCGTTTGGTTGGACGAGGAGCGTCGTGCCCATCATCCCCAAAAGCGAGTACTTATACTATCTGATAAAAAATAAAAACCGCATAGAACTTTAGCATAAGACATCACAACAAAAAATTGTAGCTAAGGGACAAAATACATCACAATAATTTTTTTTAGTGTTTACTTATATAGGGTTAGCAAGAACTTGCATTGCATGTACCAAGCATATATATATATATTATATTTTTCTCAAAATATGTAATGGAGCTCAAACTCATTTAAGAAAGAGAGCCCATCAGATAGGCGGCCACTATACATGGCATCGTCTATATTTATCTGCCGGAGTTGTAGATCACAGACTAACAATACAAGAAGCTAGCCAGTAACCAGAATGTATAAGCATTCACGTATTCGTCCTATAAAGAAAAGAGGCGAGATGCATGAACTAATCGCCTATGTACGTGAGGTGTGCCAGAAGAAACAGGCTAGCAAGTTGGATGTGTGTATCATGTATGTATATATAGGTATGCGACAAGCTAATAGAAGTATATACACGTATATGCAAGTAGCAGCAATAAGCTTCTTCATCACCAGGAAGGCGTATGTGCACCTGTGCAAGTCGGCCGGCCAGTCGGCCGTAGAGACGACGCGTTCGCCAACTTCTTCGTCATCAATGCAACAACTCCTTAAATTAAAAAAAAATACAACTGCTCCTTCGCCCATAACACCCGAAGTGTCCATGGATCATCGAACGCGTCGCGTTATGTGACGAAAAGAAGCTGAGTCTGCGGCGACCAAAGCCGCATCTAGAGGGCAGCTAGCGCTGCACAGGCCAGAGAGAAGGGGCACTGACCGGCACCACGCCACCCGCTACAAAGAAGGTGCCCGCTGCGTAAAGTTTTCCAAACGGGCCGCCCGGGCACGGTACGGCACTAGCACGGCGCGGCACGGCACTATCAGGCACGGCACTATTAGGCACGGCATCTTGACCGTGCCGTGCCGTGCCGCAGTGCCGCATGCCACCACTCCGCCGTGCACGGCACTAAGGAGTCCGTAGGTGTGCGTGCGTACACAAGGCACGCAGCCCCCAATGATTAGTGCCGTGCACGGGCACTAAAACCTCAATAACACTTAAAATGTTCACAAACAAAGAGCACAATTCAATGATCAAATTCAAATTTGAAGAAAGCAAAAAAAAAAAGAGAACACAAAGAAGACCAGAATATGAAATAAAAGGAGCTGTGCAATGGCTGTCTCATTAAAAACCTGTCCAGGTAAAACTCACCCTTGTGAGAAACCCTAGACAGGGAAAAAGAGTGCAGCCAACCCCTTAGTTTAATCCAATTGTTCATTAAATCCAATCCACAGGTCCAAAGCATCCAAGTCCAAGTCTTTAAGATTACAGACCATTACATAAATGAATGACTAATCAAGATAAAGGTTTTCAAAGGCCTCCTCGAGCTCCTTATCCTCCACCATATGTTGTAGCCTTGACTCAGCAGCTTCCCAGTCCTTGATGCATGTGAGTGCCTCCACAGTCTCAGGGTTTAGCCTCCGCCGCCTTTCTTCAATGATCCTGCCAGTGGTACTGAAAGTAGCTTCTGAGGAAATGGTAGAAACAGCACATCTGGCTTATCTTTAGCAAGGGTAGAAAGAACTGGATATGTTAGCTTATGACGATGCCACCAGTTCAGGATGTTGAAGTCATCATCCCACTGGCTCACTGTGTCACAATCCAGATAAGCAGACAGTTCAGAACTACTGCTAGAAGAACTTGCTGCATGTAACAAAACAGTAGCAGGCATACTCCTAGACATATCAAGATTAGGAGGAAGAGAAGAACAGGCAGCTCCAACCAGACCATCATCATCATCATCATCATCATATATTTCAGCCCAAGCTGTTCTTTTCTTACCAGATAGGCTTGGAGGATCAGCCTTTTTAGCCCTTACAGAGCCATACAAATCATCATACTTATGATACAGCTTGAAAAGTAGAGTTCTAGTTTGCATCGACTTATTAGAATAATCGACATCGAGAAGCACATTTAACTTCTTAAGCACTTTGTTAAAACCTTTAATTTTAGCTCTTGGATCCAAGATAAATGCAATGCGAAGAAAGATCGTGTATGGTTCTCCAATACTTATTGTACTTATCAATCATAGGTTGAACAATAGTTCTAATATGTTCATCATTTTGATACTTATGCAGGTGTATAGCAATCTTAACAATATGATGAACCATAAGTGGGGCAGTAGGATAGTACACACCAGACAAAGCAACTGTTGAGTCATAAAACAGTTCAAGGAATTCCAGTATTTTAGTTGCTATAGCCCAATGATCATGAGTCAAAAGAAAGGGGCCACCTTTAGGTCTAGGATAATTAGACTCAATGAAAGTATGAAAAATTTCCTTGTGTGGTAGCAAATGCCTAAGCATCAGGTATGTAGAGTTCCACCTAACATCCATGTCCAAAGCAAACTTCCTAGGTCTAGTACCGGATGCCATGCAATAACTCTTATATGCAAGAACTCGAATGTTAGAAGAGTTAATCCATGATATTGCGTTCGAAAGCATCAATCAAAGCACTAACAAACAACCAAAGCCTCTTTAACAATCAGGTTTATGATATGACAAGCACACTGCGTTGATGCAAAAAAACAGATCGAACCTAAATACTCCTTAAATATGTGTTTCAGTTTATCCATAGCTTTATTATTAGCAGAGGCATTGTCCAATGTAATGAGAAAAGACCTTGTTCAATATACCATAATCATTAAGCACAATCTTAACACGTTCAAAGAATGTTATCGACATTATGTGATGCATCTATAAGCCTTAAGCCAAGCACCCTTTTTTAAGTTGCCAATCAAAGCATTAATGTAATGACCAACAACACTCAAATAATCCTCTTTAGCATTTCGGACCAAATATCGTAAGTAATAGCAACAGATGAAATGGCATTATTCTTCAAATCTTCAATCAAACTATCACGCTTAGAATTGAAATACTAAAAAGATCTCTAGCTGTAGTTTGCTTAGACACTGATGAGAGTACCTAGGGTTATGAGCAGTTTTTATGTAATCTTCCTGTGCCTCGGTTTCACCAAGACGCAGGGAAGGTCTAGCCTAACAAGCAAGCGAACAAGCTCCTTACGAGCAACCTCGTTGAGAATACTCCCAATTACGCACACTACCATCCTTATTGAAAGTAATGTGGGACTGAGCCATGCGACATTTCTCACGCTTCTTAGGGCAAGAGTCTTGATGACGGAGAAGATGGCCAGTCCCAAATTTAGAATTAGCAGAGTACTCCTTACGGCAGTGAAGACACCGAGCGCCATACCTGACATCCTTACCATTTACCTTCTTGATGAGCTTCTCGAAATCTTCCCAGCAGACCGAGGTAGAAGGGCGATTAGGCTTGCTGCTTGAGCCGTCATCACCAGCGGCTTGAGCTTGAGCGTCGCCCTGGACGGCGTTGGGGCCATCACCGTCGTCGACGGGAAGTGGGTTACCAGCAGTGCCGCCGTTGAGCTCCTCGGCAGCACGACGGCCGAAGAGCTCCTCGGCATCCCCAACGACATCGTCCTCGTCGTCTCCGGTCATCCCGCATAGGCGGAGCTCGTCGTTGATGGTCATGGAGAGACCGATGTCCTCCTCCTCGTCCGACATCTCGTCGTTGCCGGCCTCCGGTCCCTCAACGCCAGCGGCTTCAAAAAAAAAGAAACAGATCTAGGGTTAAATCAAGAAGAAGAAGAAGGAGATGAAGAACAAACAATCAAGAACAAGAAGTGAAGAACACCGAATCAAGAACAAGAAAAGAAATGAAGTGAAGAAGAAGAAGCGGATCTGAGCTCACCTCGCTTGAGCCGGAGCACGGAGAGGCAACGACGACGCTTGACGTCGCTCGAGATCCGGCGTCCCTGGTACCTCAACGCCTCCTTGCGGAGCTCCCAATGACACGGAGTCCGGCGAGGTCGACGAGACCGACGAGAGAGAGAGACGAGGAGGAGATGGAGACGACTAAGCTACATCGCCGGTCGAGGAGAAGAGGGGGTGTAGAAGGCCGTGTTGTGTGCCGTGCCGACCATCATTGTCGTCACCACCACCACGGGAGGGCGGGAAGAAGAGAGGAGATCGGGTGAGTGAGTGGCTAGGGTTTGAAGAAGAGAGGAGAGCGGAGCGGAGCGCGAGCGGAGCGGGAAGCGGCCGAAAGCTGGGGAGAGAATGAGCACGGTGCTTTCAATGTGGCTCAACATGCTGAGAGGAAGCGGCCGGCTTATATAGCCACTCGTCCCAACCCTACATCCAACGGCTAGGAATCGCCGGGGTCTCCATCCAACGGCTCCAAGCCGTGCCGACCCGCGTCCGGCCTCCGGGCGGGCGCATGCCGTGTCTGCATGCTGCGCTAACGGTGGCATCGCGCCCGCACGCAGACGGGCCGCATGCCGTGTGCTTGGCACGCGCACGGAGAGGCGGGCGGGCCGTTTTTTCGCATCGCCAAATCAAGATCGTCGTGCCGTCTTTGGCCCGATGGGCACCGCCCGTTTGGAAATCTTTACCGCTGCGAGTGTCGAGTCACGTGAAACCGGCCATCCATGAGGCGCCGAGATCGAATCGTAACGCGGGTGGTAGTGTGGTGTTCGGATCTCCCACCGTCCCACACTAGGCGATGTGTAAGAGCATGAGAGGTCGGGAGCCGAGAGTCTTTGCCGGTAGTGGTGGAGAGCTTGCCGAGCCAAGATCGCTTTTTTGGCGAAGCGCCGACACCGATGCGGTTTTGTTCGTGTGGTCGATTTGTGCATGGCCAATAAACATGACCGGAGGTCATGATCGTATCGTGGATTATTTATCTTTGTTTGGTTTGGTGTGAGAGAAAAACACTGTTCTCAGCTGAAAATTTACGATCGTTTACGAGCAAGCGAACAGGCTGACGGCGACCTCACCCCCATCGTGAGGTGCTTTGATGGTGGCTTCGCGCAGCTCGAGCTTGCCGCTGCTACGCCGGCCGGATCAGGAAGGCTGCTTTGTGCGGCTCGAGCTCGCGGGTGTTACGTGCTGCCACCAGGCCGTCAGCATGTTCGTTTCGTCGTAAACGATCGTGGATTATTTACTGCTGGTTAGTTTGGTGTGAGAGAAAAATACTATTTCAACTTATAATCTACGATCGTATACGAATAAATGAACAGGCTGCGTGGCGACCGACAAAGGGACAACCATGGCTTCGACGTCTTTGGCGTAGCCGCCCAGCTCATCAGCCGCGAGTTCGAGAAAGCGCGGCCATCCTGATTTCGCATCTTGTTTCCTCTCAGCATCGAGCCCGCCGCGTGCGCGCGGCCAGGTGCGAGCGGAGCGGGCGGAGGCACAGGCGGCAACGAAATCGGGTTCTGACGCATCCGACGAGGTGCGGAGAGTGCGGTAGCCGGCGGCGCGTGAACAGGGCTGGCGGCGCATGAGCACAACTGCACAAGCAAGGACAGTTCAGTTTGAGGCGCAGCCGCGCAGGGGAAGGCAGGTTCTCGAGAATTCGCGATGACCGATGATCCAGTTCGTAGCTTAGCGGGTGAGAGACCCTGCGGATTCGTGTTCGAAGGACACGTGGCAAAATAGGATGCTAGATTTGGTGGTGCAGATTTCGTCTTTTAAGAGATTGCGTAGTACGTACACGTGCTGGCGTGCTTCGCCTGCTTGGCAACGTGTGTCCCCCGGAAGGGCACGACCCCTACACCTGCTAATAAAGAAGAGGAGCGGTAGGAGCAACAGCTATGACGAAGAGAAGACCGACCACTGACCTGCCGCTGCCGTTGCCGCTTGCACGGAGGACGTGTGTGCACGGGAGAGGAGGGCACTGCCTACCTGCTGCATGGGCGCGGGTGCCCAGGCACGCGTGGCGCTCCCAGGTAGGCAGGCTCCGCGACTGCCAAGCCCGAGATGACCCACAGCTATCCATCCACTCGCCGCGCTCGCACGCGGGAGGGCCTCGCCATGCATGGCAGTGCCACCTGGCCAAGCGAGCCAGAGCCCAGAGCCGCGAGCCAACGGCCGCGGGGCGCGTCGCCTAACCGCCGGACCGACGTGGGGAGCGCGGAGGTCCGGTGTATCCGTCAGAGTCAGAACGTGTCCCCACTTGGCCTAGCTTTTCGCTCGGAGATCGGATCCTTCTCACGGCCGGTCGTTAGGTAACTGGACCGCCCTGGGAGACATGAGTTGTCGTTACGCCGTCTGCTGGATAAGTTTTTGCTAAAAAACGGATCTATTGGTTTATAAACCCGACAAACATCATAGAAACCAACCTTTAAGATTATTATAGTATGCTCTAAGTTTTAGGCTGTCAATTCAAAATTTTACTTGACCCAAAGCGAAAGAAGCTGGGCAGACAAAAATTTCTTCACCGTATTTTTTTTCCATCTTCCTCAGATAGGAGTGCTTCTCAATGCTACTTGGGCCACATCGCGTACATGGGCCGACCCATCTGTGCCTTCCTTCCGCTGGATCGAAAGAAAAAAAAAGCAACGGAGTCGGTTCCAACCGAACCGTCTAGACGCCCGCCACCGCACGCGCACTCCGCCGCCGGCCCTAATCGAAACCGTCCCATCCCGTCGGGGCCGGGTGGGTCCCCAATCCCTCTTCTTCCTCCACCCTCGTCCCTCTCGTCTCCGCCGCGCTCGGAACTTCCAACTTGCCCCCAAAGCCCACCTCCCTGCCTAGGTTTAGGGTCGCCCCTCCGCTCCTCCCTCGCTTCACTCGTGTCCGGCAGGGGGCATCGCTGCCGGAAGAGATGTCGCGGACGCTGGTGCAGCCGGTGGGGCAGAAGCGCCTCACCAACGTGGCGGTGGTGCGGCTGCGCAAGCACGGCCAGCGCTTCGAGATCGCCTGCTTCCCCAACAAGGTGCTCTCCTGGCGCTCCTGCGTCGAGAAGGACATCGACGAGGTGCTCCAGTCCCACACCGTCTACTCCAACGTCTCCAAGGGCGTCCTCGCCAAGTCCAAGGACCTCACCAAGGCCTTCGGCACCGACGACCAGACCCAAATCTGCATCGAGGTAGGGTACCTATCCACCCCCTTTCCATCCCCCATTCAATCCACAATCCCCGCGCTAGACGCTCCTCGTTGTTGCTTTGCTTCTTCAGATTCTGGAGAAAGGGGAGCTCCAGGTCTCCGGCAAGGAGAGGGAGGCGCAGCTCTCCAGCCAGTTCCGCGACATCGCCACCATCGTCATGGAGAAGACCATCAACCCGGAGACCCGCCGCCCCTACACCATCACCATGATCGAGCGCCTCATGCACGAGATACACTTCGCCGTCGACCCAAACCTCACCTCCAAGGAACAGGTACCTGAGAATACATCTGATGCCTACTTTCTTCAGAGATAATGGATAATGGCCACAACTGGAGGAGAACATTCTGGTGGCTGTTTGTTTATTCTCCTTTGTGCTAGAATCTGTTTCCATCATCTGTGGGGTGTAGCATATTCGTTGGATATAAGTTATTGGTCTATATAATTGCTGGTATGACCTCCTGATTCATGTGCAATCACCATGTCATTTGCCAATTTCAGAACCCCTTGCACGTCACCATCATCTCTAGACTACAATTGGAAACCACCATTCTATAGAAATTTTCTTGTTTAGTGTTCAGGCCTAACAATTGGCTGGATGTAAAAAAGATAGGTGACTTCCTATTTTCTATAGAATTGGTAACGCTGCGATACTGCTAATAGGTCGGGCTACTGATTATTATTATTAGCGGTTTGTGTAGCACAATTCTATAGAAAATTTTTCGTTTAGTGTTTAGGCCTGACAATTGGCTGGACTTAAAAAGGTAGGTGACTTCCTATTTTTTTTTACAGAATTGGTGACACTGCGATATTGCTAATAGGCCGGGCTACTGATTGAATTTGGGTGTTTAGTTTTATTGAACACTAAATTCATCATCATACATACGTACTGTAGGCTGTTACTCTTATTTATCTATTTTTTCACTAACTAGCTGGTTTTCTGTTTTTTATACTAACTTACCAAAATTAAAACAAGGAAATGATGCTGTGAATTCATTTCACATTTTTCTCAGTGGAGTTGCAACTTATAACCTTTAGCCTTGATATATGTCCTTATTTCTCGTGATAATGTTTTCTGGCGATGCTGCCTGCCTTTTAGTAGTAGCAGTTTGTGTCGCACAATTCTGTAGAGGATTTTCTCTTCAGTGTTTAGGCCTAACAATTGGCTGGATGCAATTTTTTATGGAATTTGGAATGCTGCAATATTGCTAATAGGATGGGCGGCCAGTTGAGTTTTGGTTTTAGGTTTAGAACACTGAATTCATCATCATAAACAGTATAAAGATGTTATAACTATGGTTTACATGGTCATTAATTTTGTACCTAATATATCTTGATTTTGATTTTGTATATTCCAACCAATGATTATTGGTTGTATGTTTATATAGCAGAGTAGTTAAAAACTTGTCAACGTTACCTGCATATATAGAACATGAACATGATTATTGTAAAGCTACTTTGGCCAGTTAAAGTTCCTTTATCTATTATCTTACTCTATTTTTCTTCTGTTTATAAAAGTTATCAAGAAGCTCACAGAGCATAGGGAGTTTGGACAGTTAGAGACTTACGTCAATGCACAGTCAGTGTGCCACGCCAGCGTATAGAGCGGATTAGG